ACTAAGACAGAGGGATCTGTAGTATGCTGCATTCCTTACTACCCTCAATTATTCTATGGTGAAAGACAGGGACCCAAAATATTCTCTGACTTTTTGTAGCATTCTATTTACAGAGAGTAGTGAAGGCAACAATCAGAAACAAGGTGACAGACAGATACAGACACACACACAAGCACACATAAGCACGCACACAGGAAAGGAACCTGACACATCGGGTGGGAGAGGAAAAATGTCCAGTTGCTCAAGTCAAGCCAACCAGGGCAATGAGAAACTCTGCTTTTAGCAATAGAGGATCAGCATGGAGTGAATCCCAACGGGCATTCCGAATACACTCGCTCTAATGATGGGAGCGAGTGACAACCTTCTACTGCCCACGAGCAAGCCTGACCCTGGGGCCTCAATACAACTCCTGACTTCAACAGCAGGGCTCCTAGGGCTGAAGTCAGGGAGCAGGAGGAGTTTTCAAAAGGTCAGGACATGCAGCTGACAGAACTTTGAAATCCCATTCACAAAGTGTCTAGTTACAGAAACACATGTAGCTTGTATACAGTAAGAAAAGGCACACACAAGCTATGGCTATAACCTAGCTGGGTATGGTGGTGCATGCCCGTGGTCTCAGCACTTGAAAGGCTGAGGCAGGAGAATCATGAACTGGGGTACGATCAAGACTCTCCCTTGAAAGTTATCAAATAAATAAATAATAGGCTGTGTGCTCGGCACCCATTGTCGGTACTGCTGGCATTTTGGAGAACTGTCTTTTATCTAACATATGTGTCTCATATCAAAGTCTGGCCTAGAGTTGGCTCATGAGAACATTGTAAACATTTTAGCTGCAAATATTGGTTGACAGCCCCTTCTGAGGGCCACAGAGCAAATCAGCTCTGTATCTTCCTCTAAATTACTTTTCTTATAGCTATGTCAGTCTTTTACTAATCACAAAGCCAGTCCCAGACTTTGGGCTCAGAAAGAGGCACATTTCCTAGAATAAACCTTTCACGAGATGTGGCAGAGGTTAAAAGCACTTGTTGCTCTCACTGAGGGCCCAGGTTTGGCCCTCTGTAATTAGTCACAGGGGATCTGACCTCCGTCTCCCACCTCCCCAAGAGAAAAAGGCCTGCTGCAGGCCTGTGTGTGTTCTACATAGCTTGCTTTACTGAGGATTTAGCTTTATCTGCTTTTCCCAGGTTGGTTGTCTCAAGGGCTGTCATCTACAATTACGAGAACTGGATTTTGTTTTTTAAAGGCCTCTCAGGACCAGGTGTAGTGGCGACACTTCCTCCCTTCAACCCCTAGAGGTGAGGCAGAGGCAGGCAGATGGCCACTGGGCCTACACTAACAAGTCTCTTTTCTTCTCTGGAATCTCTTTGAAATATGAATTTTAAAAATGTCCAATCACCACAGAGAAGCCACACTGCCCCATAAATAGGTGTCGAGCGGCCTTCGGGAGAAACACCCTAAGCACTGTCATGGAGAACAATCAAGTCTGCCATGTGTCTGTCAAGGGCGCCTACAACACCATTTCCCTTAGCCAGCTTTTTATTTCAAAAACATCATAAACAGAAGTGAACACCTAGAAAGCCATATTAAATTAATTACACAGTCAGAAAAGCTGACTGGCATCAATTACCGTAAAAAATCTTCCAGATGGAAAAAGTTATTTCCACATTGGGTCGTTTCAGAGTCTGCGGATTCCACAAAGGACCGGTTGAATCCATTAGGGAAATATGTGCCACGAGCCCAGAGAGTGGGGTTCAAAGCCAGGCAGCACTGTCCTGTAGCTATGAATCCTCCAAGTGGCCAACCATGGAGCAGGTTCTTGGGCATCTGTGTGCCTGGCTGATTATTTGCTATGATGAAACGCCTGGCTCATGGTTTGAAGGAGATACGTCTATCACACTGAAGGGTGTGGCAGCAGGTGTGTGGAGCAGCTGCTCCCACAGCACCTCAGGTAGAAAACAGATTTAATGCTGGCACTTAGCTCACTTTCTCCAGGCTCATGGGGATGGTGTCAACTGATCAGAGGAGGTCTTCTCTCCTCAGTTAAGCCTGTGTGGAAATGGTCTCACTGAGTACCTCCTATGCTCGTTCTTTTAAGAATTACTTAAGAATTTTAAGAATTCTTTTAAGAATTCAGCCGGGCGGTGGTGGCGCACGCCTTTAATCCCAGCACTTGGGAGGCAGAGGCAGGCGGATTTCTGAGTTCGAGGCCAGCCTGGTCTACAGAGTGAGTTCCAGGACAGGCAGGGCTATACAGAGAAATCCTGTCTCGAAAAACCAAAAAAAAAAAAAAAAAAAAGAATTACTTATTTATTTTATGTACCTGAGTATACTGTAGCTGTCCTCAGACACACCAGAAGAGGGCATCGGATCCCATTAAGGATGGTCCTGAGCCACCATGTGGTTGCTGGGAATTGAACTCAGGTCCTCTGGAAGGGCAGTCAGTGCACTTAACCGCTGACCCATCTCTCCAGCCTCTCCTATGCTCATTCTAAATCCCGTCAAGTGTTCAACTAAGACCAACCATCATGGGTGATGTCTAACAGGACAGGTTTTTAAAAAATCATAAAATGAACCCCACTTGGAGATGAGCCAGAGACGCCCACCTTCAAGCAACACGTTACTCATTGCCTTCAAAATCCCAAGACCCGGAGAGGCTGAGACAGTGTGGTTCATGGGTTAGTTTGAAAACATTCTGGAGATGGAGGAGAGCGATGTTGTCGGATGCTAACGCGTGCAACGCCTCCAAGGGTTGTTCGCAACATTAGGCAAGTAAACAACTGACCGCCAACGACAGGTCTAAAACCCAGGTCAAAAACTCTTGAGAAACTGTCTAGGAACACGCTAAGCATCTCTCCATCCGATGGGAGAGCCTGGCAGTGTGTTCTGAGACACGCCTGCTAACCACACTCGACTGTGACTGACGGGGGACACCAGACACTCGCACACCAAGTCTCAGATCCTATGCTACTTTGCAGGGCGGACGGCATCAGTTTAGAGTGCTATACAGTTCAGACACTGTTTATTCTCTTTAGAAAGAAAAATTGGGGGTGTGGACTTAAGTTTCTTAATATGTGCGCATTTAGACTAAAGGATTGTAGAGACAATCACCACAGTTCTCTAGGGTAGAGCTGAATTTGTCAAACGCTGGGAGGTCGTGTCTGAGGTCCAAGCCATCTTGTGCCTGGCGTCTCACTATGACCGCTTCCCATGGCGCCTATATTTACTCTTTTTTTTTTTTTTTTTAGTATCTTGTCTCAAGAAATACTCATGTTACTGGAAAGGCAGTGAGCTGTGAAGGGCCAATGGGAGGCCATTACAAACCCAGAAGTGAGTATCTTTAGAGAAAACAAAACTCACTAGCTGGCTTCTCAAACACGACTCAGCCAAATACTGAACCATGTAAGTTCAATAAGAAAGTGGGCTTCCTGCGTTGCTAGAAATGGGGACGGCTGATGGACACAGCTAAACACAAGAGAATCAAGCCGTGACCCATGTCCCTACACATCTAGAAACAGCATAAAGAATAAGCCGTCTACTACCGACAACACGGGTCACAGCAAGTCAAATTAACCTCCCGTCTCTTCTACATCACAATGCAAATGAATAATTTAAGAAAAATTGTGCAAAACATTCTGCTATAAGCATCTGCTAATCACTGTTCCTGGGCATCTGCATCGGTCCCCTAGCAACAGCTACTGCTGGAATAAAACGGTAGCATTGGCTTTTATTGATGACCAGGAAAGAAAAAGCAGGGAAGGGATTTCCTGGATGAATGATCTTAACACTGAAGCTTCTGTGCACCAAAGCTTCCTGGAGGAAGCTCTGTGAGGAGGTAAGAACCCAGCAGGATGACAAGCCACCAGAATCTTCTTAGAGAGGACCTCCCTTGAAGCACACCATCCTAATGAATGCAACCTGCCTGCGATGCCGGTGAACAGGAAATACAAGCACGTTCTAACCCCAGCATCTCCACATCTTATTTATTCTTTTTTTTTTTTTTGGGGGGGGGGGGGATGTTTGAGACAGGGTTTCTCTGTGTAGCCCTGGCTGTCCTGGAACTCACTCTGTAGACCAGGCTGGCCTCGAACTCAGAAATCCATCTGCCTCTGCCTCGGAGTGCTGAATTAAAGGTGTGCGCCACCACCAGCCTTATTTATTCTTAAACTAATAGGAATTAACATACACACTGTCTCCAAAGAACAGTGGTTCTCACCCGTCCTGATGCTGTGTGTGACTCACTGATACAGTTCCTCATGTTGTGGTGACCCCCCCCCCAACCATGAAACTACTTCCTTGGTAATTCCTAACTGTACTTTTGTTACTGTTATGAACAGTCATGTAAATGTCTATTATTTCTGGTGGTCTCAGGTGACTCCTGTGAGAGAGAGGGTCGGTCAGCCCCAAAGGGATCTCCACCCACGGGTTGAGAACCATAGTGAGATCAGTGCCATAGAGAGTTTTAGTTGTATTTTGGTAGTAACTTCTGTGATACAAGCAAGCAGGGAGGCGGAGGAGTGCCTAAGGCAGACCCAAACCCTCCTCTGTGTGTTGTGCATGGCTTCACTCTACGACTAACAGCAGCAGCATGACCCGATCAACAACCCACCGCTCGCCCCTTAGAACACACCCTCAGTTCATGGTCGCACATCTGAGTGAAGAAGACCCAGAGCTAAGGGGATGTCTGTGACTCAACTGTAGACTCAATAGCAAAGCAGGAAGGAATCTTCCCGCTGACGCTGAGCTCGGCAGTTCCATGATGCGACCTATGCTCAGCTCAGCCTCACCTGCGCTTAGCTGGTGCACACTCCCACCCCTCCTGAGCAGGTGGGCTCCAGAGCCACTGTCTGAAGGAGCCACTCCCCGGCCTTTTGAAAGGCCACCAAACCCAGATAACATCTGTGCTGGCACGTGTAAATCGAAATGCTCTATGAAGCCGATTCTCCGGGAGAGGGAGAGGAAGGCGAGCACGTGGGGCAGAGAAGATCAATGAGACGGTTTACCTGCATCAGTTTCCGGGAGAGCTCATTGGTGAGAAACTCCTCTTCCTTCTCGTAATTCACCGCGAGGGTTTCTTTCTCCTTCTGCAAGGCCTGGATTTTCTTGAATAACGTGTTACTGATGAACTCTTCTTCCTGCTCAGCCCTGGCTTGCTGTTTGGAAAAATTAAAAGAACAAAAACAAGGACGTGGTGAGAACACAGAATTTTCCCGAATGTAACACAGCTCTTATTTCTAGAGGTGCCTATTTTAACGAGAGCTCTATTTTTAACTGTGAACCATTGTATCCTCCCTACATAAAAAGCAGAAGACTTCAGCAGAGGCACCAGGGACAACTTCACTAGGAGCCAGGGGCCTCCGTGGACTACGCAGGATCCTTCTTCAAATTGGCAGGTCAAATTACCAAAGACTGGATTTCATGAAGCATCCCAAGATCAAAACACAAACATACAAAGTCCCTCTTAACAGACAGGACCCAGCCCGTGCTGTGCACCCGACTAGTGAACACCGCCCCCCCGCCATCTTGAATGGACCTCAGCACATCTGTGTGTTCGTGGAACTCTTACAGGGGACAGGCACCGAGTCCTGAAGTGTACTTATGCTAAGGTGGTAACTCTTACGGGGCTGGGCCGAGGCCCATGGGAAGACCAAAGAGAATGTTCACATTTTATTTTCCCTGCTAGGAACTCGGGAGTGGAAGGCGGGGTGCTTGCCAAAGCAGGCAATACTGAATTGAAAACACACTGCAAACACTCCACCAAAAAGGACCAGGCGTGATGTACTGGGTTGATAACAAACAGTACGCCTCCCCAAAAGCTTTAATAAACAGCAAGACATGACCATTCCAGGAAAATCCCTTTTAGAAAGAAACAGACACACACAAAGGAAAGGACACCAACATTTCAAACTACTCCATATATATCCCTTTAGTTGTTTTGTTTTGAATTTTGAGGTTGTTGGTTTGTGTGTATGGCTGTTCGCCTGCGTGGATGTCTGTGTGTCGTGTGTGTGCAATGTCTGGAGAAGCCAGTGCTTGATCCCCTGGGACTAGAATAATACAGGCTACTGTAAGCTACTGAGTGGGTGCTGGGAATCAAACCAAGATACCAGGAAAGGGCTGTCAGTGCACTTAACTGCTGAGCCATCTCTCCAGCCCCTTCCTACTTCAAATAGACATTTTAATTCTATTGTTGGCGTTGACAAGCAGAAAGCACACACAGCCAAGTCCAGGGAGAGAGAGATCTGCATAAATTCCACGCCTCTGCTGCCACCAGACAGCCAGAATGTGAGGGAAAAGAATCTGACACTAGGCAGCCACCACCTTTACCCTGAAAGGGCCCACAGCCACCGCACTCCACGGCCGCCACTACCTAGATACCAGCTTCCCCATACCAGCATCCCCAACACATACATCATGGTTTCGATGGCAACACATCCTTGGCTCACCATCTTACCAAAGACCCTAGAAAAGTTCTGCCAGATACACTCACTCTTAATACTCAAGGCTGAAACTCAGAACTACACAAAAGCTAGGCACTCAGAGACGTTTTAGCATGGAAGGTGACCAGCCAAGGACCCCAGAAGCAGACCCTGAGTCCTCTGGGGTTTCCTTACATGCCTCTAACTTCACTAGCTAGCCTGATCTCTCCCCTCCTGCAACAGGGGAGGAAAATAGCTAAGAACTCAACTTTTTATCGTTTAAATCAACAGCTACTCTTCTCCCAGAAGCTTCGAGATCTCCTGCTCCAAGTGATAGGAAAGAATCCAAAGTATCTGCAGACCTATTCTAGATATCTGAGACTGTCATCTACAGTGCTACTGGTTCTTCTGGTTCCAACCAACCCAGGCCAACTCTCAGTATTCAGGTAAGGGAGAGACAGGCAGAGGGACTCTGTTCAGCTGGTGGAGCTGATGCTGGGCTTAGATTTCCAAAGGGGATTGCCACAAGTCAGCATCAGCACCAAGCCCACCTCTAGCACTTACACAAGATCACACATTTTATCTTAAATGACTGGGAGTGTCACCACAAGCAGTAAAGGAGGCTCCAACCAGGCTGGGCTGGGCAGCTCCTCTAAGTATGTGGCCTACAGCTGACAGGGCTAATCCAGAGGCTTCCAGCTAACGCTTCTGACACTGGCGACCAGCCTTCAACCTTCATCTGTGCGGTTCCCTGTCTCATCCTTTCATGTCAAATTAAAGGAATGACAAACTGCAATGCCTTATAGACGAGAACTCTGAAGACAGGTCAAGGCCTTGAGGTTGCCAGAGAGTGGGGAATGGCCTCCGCTGTGCCCAGGTTGCTTGCAGAGCCGAGGAATGTACTTCAGAACTGGACGGCACCAAGAGTTCTTCTGAACATACTAGCAGCCACCAAAACACTCTACAAAGGTGAAGTCCTCTGAATAAATCTAAAAGTCCTTTTAATTAAAAAGGGACTCTCTTCAACAAAGAAAGTTTATAACAATTAACAAAGGATGTTTTATAAGGTTGTGTCTTCTACACGGCTCTTCCCCAGGCAAGGGAGCAAGTTTTTAAGATGTAAGCAGAGGGGAGTCAGAAACTGGGTCTGTGGCAAATTAAACTAGTCACTGTTTGAGAGTAGTCAATTTTTCCTTGGCAAAGCCCATTAGTAGAAACCCTGCTTTAAAATGAAAGACTATCCACTGAAGATTATCTGAAGCCGGGTATCCTGCTGGTACCCGAAATCCCATTTGGGAGGCTGGAGCGGGATTAAAAAGAGTTCAAGGACGGCCTGAGATACATAGCAAGACCTTGTCTCAAAAGCCGGAAGTGGAGTGAGGGGGCCCAAAGCTTATGGAGAGCCCCTATGGCTAAGGTTTCCTGGCAGTTCTAAGTTCTAGTTGGGGCCATCTGACTAGCACAGGTTAGGAATGAGTTTGTAATTGAAGATTATGTATTGTATGTATGTATGTATGTATGTATGTATGTATGTATGTATTGTAAGACATAATCAACACTGCCTGCGAACAATGTCTGACATGGCATCCAGCATCCTGATGGTATCACGTATGTATAGGTAAGCCAGATTAGGACGGAGGCCACACATCACAGAAAGCACATGTCCACCCAGAACTCCAGCAGGCTTTCACCCAGCGTGTAGCATCATCATCTCAACTTTGGTCTTCCCTTTGTTCTTTCCATCTCAATCTTGAAAGGCCCTGGGATTTAATCTGAACACAGTCATCTCTGCGATGTGTTCCCTACAGGAGGTCAGGGAGGGGACAGACAGACAGCAGCGTAAGAACAAACAGCAAGCTGGGGCAACTCGTACCAAGACACAAGCAGGAAGACAGAGGGAGATAAATCAGGTTCCTGGTGAAACCTCATCCTTCGGTTACGTCAGCTACTTCCCGTTATCTGAAACGCTTGAAAATCTCAGTGCCCTAAACATGTTCAAACCCGAGCCTGCATCTCAAAGCGCGAGGTTGTTCTATCACTCTGTGAGTCTCAAATAAAAATATGAACAAGCACATCAGAAAATACTGTCTTGTGCGCTTGTAGGATTTTTGTTGTTATTTTTTATTTACATTTCAAATGTTGCCCCCCCTTTCCCGGTCTCCCCTCTGCAAACCCCCTATGCCTTCTCTCTCCACCTCCCCCTGCCTCTATGAGGGGGCTCCCCCGCCCACTCACCCACTCCCACCTCACCATCCTAGCACCCCCCTCCGCTGGGACATCGAGCCTCCACAGGACCAAGGGCCTCTCCTCCCACTGATAACAGGTAAGGCCTTTCTCTGCTAGTTAAGTAGTGGGAGCCATGGATCCCTCCATAAAGACTCTTTGGTTGGTGGTTTAAGTTCCTGGGAGCTTTGGGTGGTCCAGTTAGTTAATGCTGTTCTTCCTAAGGGGTTGCAATCCCGGTCAGCTCCTTCAGTCCTTGTCCTAACTGAGAAGTACACTATTCCGTTTCCATCACCAGTAGGAACCTAGCTGCTGAGAAACAGGGCTTCTGAGTAATCAGCCATGGGGCTGTGTAATATGATGGCCTCACTGAGTGATGTGACCACTCAGTGTCTGTAAATTAAAATGGACCACACAATTTCTCCCTGCCGTGAGTTTCCTACCTAATCCAAAACAACTCCAGTGTAACAGCGGGTGGATCAAAGAGAGATGTGTCCACTGTGTGGGGAAAGCAAGCCTGGAAGGACCCTCCGATGGGATCTTCCCAAGTTACGGCCGCTTGGGCAGAGATTTGACAGCAGTGCTGTAGACAGGTTATCATCTCGGCCCGTTACCAAGGGTATTCTGGAGAATTCCAGAACTATCTACTACAGCATTCACTGCCAATGAGAAAACCCAAGAACCAGTATGAACCAGAACCACGCAGGTTAATAGAACATCTGCTGGACCCAATAAAAGGTGGACGAGGCCCCCAAATCCTTAAAGTACAGTAAAACATGTGCTTGACCACAGCCTCAGGTACATCAGGGCAAAGTGCAACTGACTCAAAGTGCTAACAGAACTCAGAGCACTGACTTAGAAACGTTATCTTAACATTGGCTACTGATTTGTCTCAGCAACCGAGAGTCATGAGCTGTCAATGCCTGAGAATCCAGACGGTTGAGTATGTTATGCTAATTATTCAAAAGTATTATTCTGGGCCTGGAGTGATGGCTCAGTGGTTAAGAGAACTGGCTGCTCTTTCAGAGGACCTGGGTTCGGCTCCCAGAATCCACATATCGACTCTCAAATCTGTAACTCTAGTTGCAGGGTAGACTCCTACAAGCACCAGACATACAACTGCTACATAGACACACACACACCCAGATAGAATAACAGAATTTCAAACTGTTATCTAGTCACTAATGGTCTAAATTTAATCTCTTTTTGGGGGGCAGGGGGGGTGAAACTTGTGTCCTGTCAAGCTGTATGGGTCAGAGGACATCTCCGTGGGAGTCTACCATCTGAGTTCCAGGAATTAAATTCAGATTGTCAGTCTTAATGACATGCTTCCCTGTTTGCTGAGCCACCTAGCCATCCCAAGATCTAAGTTTTAAAAAGCTTCAAGTCTTGCTCAGCAGTTGGGGAACTAAAGAAGGTACTGAGTTTTGAGGTGAGCATGGGCTACATAGTGAGATGAGTTCCAGGCTATCCTGGGCTACAGAGTTCTGACTGTGTCTCAAAAGATAACA